TTGCTCATTTTGCTTCCGAAAAACATGCAAAACGGGACGGAAAACATGAAATTTTGCAATAATCTTGCGCCACCCTTGCACAAAACGACGATAATTTTTCTAATTTCATAGACCAGACCTCTGAATTTAAAGCTGGATCTCCAACCAACCGAAACAGTTTCGTATCATCGTACCATCGTATAAATGGATGCATGGGCTCTTGTCTTTATCTATGGCTTTAGACTTTCATTGTTTGCTTTAGACAGCATATTATATATTAGTTGACCGWAGAGGTGCTAAAAGCTGCCTGTTATCGAGGGTTTGTTGTTGACCCAAAATAGTGATTGTCCTCACTGAAGAGTGCGAAGTGAAAGCCATATGAAACCAGTAAATTGACGGACAGTAAATTTTGAAAACAACACTGGAATAGACAACCTTCCACAAGCAAATAAGGAAAGTAGTAACAGTATTGTTGGATTTCTGCTTAAATCCTTAGTTATAACTAGAAATATGTCATCTTTTCTTTGTATTCGACTTCTTTGGTAGGCTTACGAGTTGCCAATAAAAGCTTTCACACCTTGATGCGAAGTTGACCTCTCAGGATGCACCCAGACAGTAACCGAGCAGTGTTTCATAATATCAACCCTTTTCCAGGTATACAGGATACCTGAAAATCAGTATCTTTTCTTTTCTTTAGTACAAGTACAGAAAATTGAATTGCAAAATATTAAAATTTGTTATATTTTCGAAACCTTCAGATTTTCCCATTAATAAGAAAATCGTGTCTGAGTGATTATTTATACACTGTTCGTGTATGGGGTATTATTATGCTTTAATTTCATTATTGATGAATAAGTTTCAATTAATTTAGACCTTATTGAAAATCAGTCGAATACTGCCCTAAAATAATTTAATCTTCGGTTGCCCATTTTCTCTATAGTATAATTTTGAATCAAAATAGGGGACAAATAAAAAAAGTACAAAAGAGATAAACTTTCGAGGCTATTCCTTGAAACTAATGGGCTTTTTCGGGTTTTAAGGCCGTCGTTCGGTAGAATTTCTTCTTGACGTTTCGCAAGCACGAGTGGCTTGCATCTTCAGAAGTGAACTTGAAGGCTTACACGGTTCTGGTAGCATTCGCATCAATTTTGTTTAAAAACAGTGCCGGGTTATCACCTTTGATCTCACTTTTTTCAGGAGAGCTGAATCCGGCACTGTTTAGCAACTTCCGCAGTATTTTCGCTACATCGTGTGCTAAGACACATTTTTACGGAAAAACTAAAAAGGACACAAACATTTTGCAAATCCACGAAATTTGATCTTCTTTATTTAAGACCGTTTTTTTTTAATTTGCGCATTTACGACAATAAATTAAAGGCCAAATGAGGAAACTTTATAGTATTGCTCTTGTTGAATCCAGCCTTTAATTAAAACCATGCAGTGCCGACTTTAGGCAGACATTAAAGCAAGAGGAGGAAAAACAAGTTTTTGCCAAGTTTCTCGTTTCTTTTGTGTCGTAATCGACTAATTAAGGGAAACTGGAGCTTCGAATTTCATTCAAATGTATTCGTTTTTGCTGGTTATTAGATTAACAAGTGCAGAGAAAATATTATAGGATCGAAATGAGAAAGAATCGAGACGAACAAACTTTTCGTACTTGTTAAACCGGTATAATCATTTAAAGTATCAAAATAAATTGAATTTAAAACTGTCCCAAAAAAAAACTTGGAAATTTTCTAACTCCCTATTGTTTCGAATTATATTTAAAACCAATAGCTCTACCTCCTTATATTTATGGTGGTGAGGAATACCTACTATATAAGACAAAGTTATCCATTTCCTGGTCAGAAACTAAATGATTTTCGCTCAATATTGGTCTTGAAAAAATGGGATATTCGAACTGCCAATAGAATAGATATCTTCACTGCTTGCCTTTGGTTTAATTTAACAATAGTTAAGTGAAGTTTAATCTCGGCTTAAGCCCCCCCTTTAAAAATAATTATTACACAGTGTGAATGTAAAGTATGGAACAGATTTAAAGTTGCAGAACAGAGATAGACTTTCGAGCCCATTCCTTGAAACTAATGGGTTTTTCGATTTTTTAGGCCGTCGTTGGGTAGAATTTGTTCTTAGACCTCGAAACTTTTTAGAACTAAAAACCCGAAAAACCCATTAGTTTCAGATTTCATAAGGTTTATACAAATGAAAGGAGAAAATGTTTGGACGTAACTTGATAATTTTGAATGGATTTCTTTAGAACAACATGCTTTTTCAGTTTTTCAAATTATATTTAAAAAAATTTGATATTTTCTAACTAAGACTTTGGGTCACAAATCAACCAAAATGTAAAGTCGCAGAAAAGAGGACAGAAAACTTAAGAAAGTGTTCAAACTTTAGGAACTCTTGCCAACAATTAAGGAAGGATTAGGCGCATTTCTTGCTTGATTTTAAGTCCATTGTGTTCGATTCGAAGTTTGTCGTGCAAATAATTGTTTGTTCTTTCATCTGGACAGACTTTATTTAATATATTCCATCTGTCACGTTCACACTGTATATTCAACTTCAACCTGAAGCGTCTATGAGCGCAGTAAATAACCTATGTTAGTTAATAAGAATATTATAGACTGACTCCCTAACCGGGCGTAAAATCTCAGACCTTGCATATTTTCCATACATTTTTATACGTTGTCTAGTTAGTCGTCACATCCCATGATATGTAATCAGTATTATTTATCCCAGGGTAAAAAGGTAATTGTTTTTATTAAATAAAAAAATGCGCGTTAAATGCGAAAGCGTTATGTACCATGTACAAATGTTAAGCCAAGTCTTAAAGTAATGTTCGAAATATTATATGTATTGTCGTAATGGTGCTAAGTTTAGATACAAATTTAAATGACAAATCACCATTGTACACTTGCGAAAATATTAGCATATGTAGAAGAGATATGAAAACTACCATGATCCCCAGCATAAGAAGGAAGGTATATTCTTACCAATTTTTTATGTGACAAGTTAGGTAAGTATTCCAAATTATACGGTGCAGTGAAATTGTTGATTTTTTTGCATTATTTTGAAACAACTAAAGTAAAAAAGGAAAATATTAAGACAATAGTTAAGAAGAAATTCTGATGATCGAATGCCTAAAAACCCGAAAAACCCATTAGTTTTAAGAAAAGGACAGTCTACTAATCTCTGCTAAAACAAAGCATAGCTGTAAATCCCACAAGCTGAGAGCGCAAGTCACTGCAGCGCCCTCTAGGATCGATCTGTCCGAGTGCATTCCGCCATCAGCCGTCGCGCAGTGAGAGAAGCTGAATATTTTACAGTTTTCTACACGGGATTTCAGCAGCCAATACATTCGGACCCGGCAACATCGGCCGCCGCCATGACATTTTTGATTAGCCAGCACTCATAATGTCACTTGTGTATTTTTGTTGATAAATAAACTTATCTGGGCCGAGAAATGGTTGCAAAGGTCAAGAAAAAAGGCTCAGTCTTTGCGAAAATAGTTCATGGATATTTTCCAGAGCAAGCATTGAAGAGTATGAGTCGCAAACAATTGGAACAGTGCGTTGTGGATTTGGTCATTTACAGTTCGGCCTCGAAAACGAGTGACCGGAAAGGATTTCTGGATTTATATGAAAGATTGTGCGTGAATAA